CGCTCATGGCTGCCCGCTCATGGCTGCCCGCTCATGGCTGCCCGCTCATGGCTGCCGGCTCATGGCTGGAGCGGGGCACCCAAACAGTTGCCGAGGAGGACCCCAACGTTTCTCCGGACAAGGTAAGGGAGCGAATCTTCTGTATCATTTTGTCTTATACTTTCGTGGCATTAATGCAAATGGAAAATTATGCCATTCCACGCATTTCCTAGTTTCGTCAACAAATGACGCGCAGTTAATCCGTATTAATCCGTAGTGATGGATAATGTAAATCGAAAAAGGAAGAATACTCTACTTTGAAACCACAATCTCCGTAATAAATGAAACATTTGTAATTTACACATCCGAGTTACTCAACTACCACCACCAGCTATTCTCAGTTTGTGTTACAACTATTTGCAAAACTAAAAATGGGAATAATTGTAGCAACGTTACCAAACCCAATCCCAATTTATTTACGCACGAGATTGGTGATAACACAACGGGAAGTTTCTTTATTTTAGACATATCCTCTTATCCGTAACAGGATGTTAGAAGTTCAGAGCTCTGATACATTACTTTCCTGGACAATTATGAAATGATCACACTTCACATGACAGTATGAGAAAAATTGTGGTTTGTCTTTACTTGCCATATGTAATCGTGGTAAAACGCCCATCCTTATAAGGAAATTCGATCTCACAATCCCACCGCAAGGCTGTCTCCATCTTTGCCTCGACAAGTGAGGTACCGGAAGTGGAATTTTATTTATTTATATATTTCATTATCAAGTCTCTTTGGGGGAAAACACACGACGTAAATTAATTTATGATTCAAGATATAAATTAATAAACGAAAACAATCAAGCTTCAATCTTTTAATCGTGCATCTTTAATTTGGTTTATCATTAACTTATTACATCACAGTAAATTTGTGATAAAGTGCCTCTCATAAGGGTCACAAGTTGTCTAATCGGCACAAAAAATTCAAACCACAAGAAAAAAATATTGGTATACTTTTCGACCCAAAGTATTTCTGTTACATTGTACATGCAACGTCAATGAAAACCAGGATTATTGTCCCTCTGGTCGAATTTCTGTTGCAGTTCCATTGCCTTCGGAAAAAAATAGCTCATGACAAAGAAGTAAAATTTTCGATAGTTCTGTTCCTAGCAACAGCTTTTCCTCAAGCGATATTCCAGTGGAGTCCATACAAGTCGGAAATTATGCAATTCCACCGATTTCCTATTTCCTCAACGATTGACACGCAGTTAATTCACATTTACGGATAATGTAAATCGATATGTAAGAATACTTCACTTTGAAACCACAATCCGTATAGTAAATACAACGGAAATGTAATCTACACATCCTAATTACTACCTCCACCAGCTATTCTCAGTATATATTACAACTATTTGCAAATGAGAATTGAAACAATTGTAGCAACGTTCTTGATAGAGGCACAAAATTAACATTCTCAAAAATGAACATGATATCCTTAGTTCTGAAACTCGCACAAGGCAGCGAAACATTGAAGATCTTATTACCTACGAATAAATATTACAGAATGGAGTGGAGAAAGTTTCAAAAATGTGCTAAAATACAAGTTGCATCTCCAAAAAACAATCTTACTGGAAATCGACAGTCGAGTTCAATGATGTTTATTGTTGCCTAAGAATCAAGTAACGAATTTGTTGTACTTTCCGTAACACAGAAGTTACTCGTATATCAACTTAACGCAACGATAAGACCGAACAGTCACTTAACAGGTGGCGTGCGTTAAGGATTTAACAGTCCGCCGCTCGTTAGGAACAATGGAAACAAACGAGCTGCAGTCAAAGATAGCTTATTAGAACATTTATTCCAAGAAAGGGCATTTGCTTACAAAATTTCTTTGAAGAAGTTGGTATTGCGAAATGTATTGGACAACACACTACCAGTAACACCAATAACACTCGATATTTGCTTCGGTATATCGACGTATTTATTTCCGCAATGCAACTCCGATATATAATTACGATTCTCAAATATTCCTGCTTGCCTTATTGTTGCTTCTACCCCTCATATGTCCGTATTTTTTATTGTGTCGGAAAAGAATGACAATACATATTTTTCACATGTCTTTAACAGTCCAGGTAACATTGCCCTTTCGGGGTATTTTGAACTAATATTAGAAGAATTGAAATCAAACCAATAGTTTCCGAAAGTTTAATGAACAAAAAAAAGTTTTACATCAAGTTACAATGAAGTAAAAAAAACAAAACATTAATCTAAAAAATTCACCTCGACAGTGAACATTTCCTTTCATTAATTAAGGCGCTGCTTGACATCGCCTCCAGCGGCGACGGTCGTGCCACGGAAGGCAGCGTCGTCCGTCTAGCCACAGACGACGGCCGCCCGAACATGTCGTCGTCCTCGAAACGGCGGAAGGAGCGGGCCGGATGGATCCAAGGCTTCGAGTACCAGGTGGTGATGCTCTCTGAATCGTCGTCCGATTCTCTCTTGTCTTCCCGTTTCCCCATCGGGCTGCGCCTGCGCTGTTTCCTGGAGCTCGCCGAGAGACTTCGGATGCTGGGCTTGTTCTCCACGAGCACGCCGCACGCCGGGTCCCCGGCCCCGCCCAAAACGGTCATCCCCCTCTTCGACGAATACGAGACGACCACCAGCACCATCGGGGCCGAGGCTTTGTGCAGCAGCACCACGCCGAACGGGAACTGGTACGCCACCAACAGCGACCCGAAGAACTCGGGCGTGATGCCGTAGAACATTTTCCCGGAGACGAGCACGAAGTCGACGCACATGTCGTGGTAGCAGCAGGCCTCGTCGCTGGCCAGGGCGTCGTACAGCTCGGCGTGCAGGCCGAGCACGCGGTCGCCGGCCGGGCAGGCGAAGCGCGGGCGCTCGACCACGTACGTGACGTCGGACGCCGTCCGGCCGACGGCGCGCGCGTGTGGCCGGAAGGCCGCCAGCGCGGTCGCCAGCAGCGGCATCACCACCAGCTCGAAGTACTCGCGGATGTAGGCGCCGCGCCCTTCCGTGAAGCCCACGGGCTGAGTGTCCGATGACGAGCAGCACGACACGACGCCCTCGCAGTACTCCTGGATTCTCTTGAGCCCCAGCAGCTCCGCGTCCTCCTTGCGCGGGGGCCGCAGCCTCTGGACGACGACGGCGGAGTGCTGCTCGATGTCGGATTGCCAGTTGCCGAAGAAGTAGTCGACAAACAAACGGGAGATTTTGTGCTCCATATTTTTTTTGTTGTTGTTGTTTTTTTTTTTTTGTGTTTTTTTGGTATGAGAGATCGGAAGATAAAGTTCAGTAAAATCACGGAGATGCTGACAGAACTGTAATTTAGAAATTTTGAATTATTGCCGTTAACTAGTTCCGAAAACTTGCATGACTGTTGCCACGCAACTAGCAATATGCATTGTTTTATGTAGATACAATCTTGTACTACATAAATACTTGTATTAACCATGGAAAAGCTAATATTTCCAGTAAAAAAATATGTTCCAAAGCCAGTGTTGGCTCCTCAATGGAAGGAAGGGAGGAACGTTCTCATTCATTTTCTTCGTCTAGATGTAACGATAAAATAAAATATTTGCTTTTGTTTGAGGGAAAATGTACAACTTTTGAGTTAACTATGAGGATATTTATTTTCTCATAGTTATCATACCTGCTCATTTAAGCTACGCGAGAACAATCGCAATCAATTGAAGTCGCCTAGGGAGGAACCGCCAGCCTTTCTTCCCCTGTTGTGTTAATCGCTCAAGTATTTCAGCGCTCCAGCGGCGTAAAATGAATAAGTTTTAATCGGGCTAAACGGCAGAAGGGGAGAATCTCCTCCATTAAACTGACGTATATTGGCGACTTTTGGAACTAAAAGAACGCGCCAACGGACGATGAGTCCTGTATCAATCTGGTAGACAAGGGTCACACCAGAGGGTCAGACGTAGGCAGAGGGGCAGCCCGGTGTGATCTTACAATTTGGAGTGTTGGAAGGTCCGAGAAAACCAAACTGATCTTTTCTCTTATACCATCGCAAGTCGACCCATGTATTATAAATTATTTTGTATGTTGAATTTGAAGTACTTTAAGCAATGGATGTTTTTTGCTCGTAAGAAAGATGCACGAGCCACCGCTGTCCCAAGCACATAGCTTTGGAGCAAATTCGCAGTTGAAGTTTTGCAAATTGTTGAAGTTTGGAAGAATAAGACGTCGGTCAAAAGGCTACGAAAAGCTGAATAATTGAACTTTTAAAAAGAGTATAACTGCTCAAGGAACAAGTTAAGAATTATCGTGGTTCACTGAAGTTTCAAAGCTGATTTGTTACCGGTTTGTTTTTTGTTTTTTCCTTGTGTGCTTGCATTCGAACATATGCGTCCGTGTCGACTTTCGTAATCTTTTTATCTTTTCCAGATACCGAAATACGGCGTAAGAGTATTTCATTATATTGCCACTGTATTGGAACGGCCTAGGATCTTCATACCAAAAGGTGTTCTGAGCATTTATGGATCTGAATTTATTCGTAAATTATAGATTAAATAGTTTGTTCGGAAATTGAATCTTCAGTGTTTATGC